ATGTATTTATATATATATATATATATATATATATATATATATATATATATGTGTTTTCGCGTGTATATAATATATATATATATATATATATATATATATATATATATATATATATAAATGTGTGTATATAATATATGTACGTATGTATGCGTGTGTATATATATGTATGTGTGTGTATATATTTGTGTATATATACACGTGTGTAATATATATATTTATATGTTTGTGTGTGTGTGTATATATGCATGTATTTATAATTAAACACATTATTATTATTATTATTATTATTATTATTATTATTATTATTATCATAATACAAACAATACTCCTCAACAAACACCAAGCACACATACATATATACACACTCATTAAACACACTCTATTATATACACAACACACACTTGCATTTTATGTACACGCATTCCACACACAAAATAAGAGATTGTACATAAACTATTTATTACAATGTTGTTTTGTTATGAAGTGCTGTCCTGAGTGTGTTAATTTACACACTCAAAAAATATTTTATTTTGCTTGTTCAAACTAATCATTTAAAATGAGCTGGAACTCCATTCTTGAGATTTAATTGGGACAACTTAATTTGTCATGTTCAATCCACATAAATTGGTTAAAAGTGTTAAGTTAACCTCATCAGTTTGTGTTGGGACAACATGAGTGAATTGTGTGGAACCCTGCATTTTACAGTGCATAAAGGATATTTACATATAGACCACAAGACGAAGACAATAGCTGAGAGTATTCAAATGACCATCATGGTTATTAAAACTGTATGATTATTGGCCTGATGATGATGATGATGATGATTGTTTTTGTACTTATTTATATTAACTTGTTTGTTCTGAACAGTTCGTCTGTTTCCAGCATTACTAATAGACGTTCTCCTGGGTGTTTTGCTGCTGCTCATGTGATCTTGAGTGGAATCATCAGTTCCACACTCACGACCATATAAGGACATGCATTAAAAGACTCAGACCAGCCCCTTCCCCAAACACCAGCCAATCAGAGCGCAGTGCAGGGCAAACAGGAACTAGTGGTTCCTTAATAAAACCCTGAGATGAGAGCTGGCTGAATAACTGAGCCAGAGTTGAAGATGCATGAAGAATAATAATGCAAATAAATGAGTGAATTTAATGGCAAATCAATGTTTAAACAGAAAATGCATCAATGACTGCAGCACTGCAAACACAAGTGCATATGTAATATATGAAAATGCTTTGTGAATACATGCATGCAGATAAATGTGTGTGCGTATACGCAGGTGAACACAGACATCCATGTGAACACTACTAAGCAGACTCTTCAGGGTGTTGCGTTTCCCCTGGACGGCGAGGCGATGAACGCTTTACAGAAGTTTAAGGACAAGAAGCTCAGCTACGTGCAGCTGGTGAGACACACACACACACACACACACACACACACACACACACACACACACACACACACACACACACACACACACACACACAATTCTGTACTAAACTCAGCTCTAGGTCTGTCACAGTAATCAGTATATGGATTATCACACAACACATGGACATGAACTCATTCATTTGTGATGCAGTATATAACGCATATCCATAAACACCAATTCTAGCAACACTTAGCTGATTGTGCAGCATCTCTACGCCTATTGGAGGTGTTGGCATCAGTATGGTTAATAAAACACTGTAGTATTTACTGTAAATTACTATTGTCAGGCCCGTAGCCAGCCTGGTGTAAGGGGTGGTTCTTTTTTCTCAAAAAGTGGACTTTTTTGCAATTATACGCCTCGGTTTCTATTTAACTGAGCTTTCAATACTGCATTTTAGCGACATTTTAAGCAGTACTTTATTTTGCTGGATTCGCTAGTCAGACGTCATCATAACCACACTTTTTGATGTACTAAAATATTTCTTAAAAATTAGCAATAAAGAAAAATTTAAACAAGACTAATTTTTAAAATACAAATTTCTGACATCATATATCATTAGGAAAAAACAGCAATCTGTTAAATTTTTAAAGTTAAAAAACTGTAACCTACTGTACTGTCATTTATTAGACAAAAAACAAACTGGCCAGGACATTCAACTGTCCTCAGTCAAATTTTCACCATTTCAATAATAATAATATTCAAATAATAATAATAATACAGTAATAATGAATTTTTCTAGCCTTTTTGGTAAAAAAAAGTACATTTGAAAATTGCTGGACATCAACAATAGCCAAAATAGATTCAAATTAATTTAATATGGTCCGCTTCTGGTGCTTCACACCTTTTTATTGCTCTTTTATTTCAGAAATAAGGTCCAAGATTTAGATTGAAAGTTACCTGTAAAATGTTTTCTTTGTTTAAAAACTGTTTGGTCTTTTTGATGGATTATTTTCATTATTTATGATTTCATTAATTAGCATAAAATTAGATAATATATGGGACAAATACTGGACCTTTGCAATTGAGGGGTGGGTCTTCCGAACAACCCGACCCATCTCCAGTTTACTTAGAACCTCATGGATAGAGGCAGATTTTTCTGTTAGGAAATAACTTCCTTACCTTGTTTGGCAGTCTTTTTGAACATATGTTCAATATTTTTCGATAATGCCTGCCTTTTTTGCCTTCTTGCTCTTTTCGACCCACAGCTCAGTATGGATGTCGCATCATAAATTCAAATGTGACCACTCAGTGGGTTATGTCATGTGATCGCGTCACATTGAGGCTCTATGGGATTCGAAATACTGGCCAGAGTTATTTTAACATACACTTTATTACAATATATATTGAATATAAATATATTATATTAATTATATATTAAATATTATTAAATTACATAAAATAATTAAAAGGACAAAATCTGGACCTTTTAGCCGTGGGGAACCCCCCCCCCCTGGCTACGGGCATAATAGTATATACTCATGTGGGTGTCTGATGACTGACTATAGATCTGGCAGCAGATATCACAGCCTCTGTTACTCTTTACCTTGCACTTTTGTGTTAACATGTGTTGTTATTTATTCAGGATATGCGCTTTCCCATTCTGACTCTGATGAATGATTATTAAAGCATTAAAATGACTATAATTAAATGAAATATTCTTAAGAATAAAATATTGTGTGTTGTTTGGAAGAGTGCACTTGCATTGTGATGATATTACATTGTCATTCTGGCATAATGAGTGCCTTAGAATGACAATAATATCACTTATTTTGGTGCAATATATCACACAACAAACATTAGATATCAAGACAGGCCTGCTCAGCTCTGTTTGTTGACATTATTCTGCTATGCATTAGTGCTAGAAATGACTAGGAATTAGAGATGCGCGGATGGGCTATTATTTCATCCGCAACCGCATGACAAAATTCATCATCCGTCCGCCATCCATCCGCAGTAACATTTTTGATCAATTTTTAAAACCGCACCCGCCCGCCATCTGCTGATTGGGCTCTTTATTTGAATGGCTTATTCCTTTTTTTTATTAAATGAATGTTTCTTTATTGATCATTATAGAATAGAGAATGACTTTAATGTAGACATGCAGTTAATCCAAACGTGCAAGTCATTAATTGACGACGCTTTGAAGTGACGCTAAAGATACGAGGACGTGTCTTTTCACTTGATTCGATTCCTCGGTCCTTCAGTCTTTTCCTTGCGTCTTTCCCTCGTAACGTTATCCCGGTGGGGTGGAAACACGAGGAAAGAAAGCAAGGAAAGGAAACGAGGATGCACAAATAAGAAATGAAAAGCACCCGAGCTCTCAGAATATCAGCAGTGAACTCCGTCTCCAATCGGCGCACAGGGACAAAAATAAATAAATAGCCTAAATTAAACGCACTGTACTGTACAACTTTTTTATTGTAGCCTAATAGAAAACGCATTGACACATCATTTCAACATGCTGCTATTTAGCCTACTACTAAATGCCTATTTCACTTAATTTTTTAGTAAATAGATAGAATAAGTCATTTACATTATAGCCTAATAATGTTTACATTTGTAGTTGTCCATAGCAACCCCAAAAACGTACCTGCTTGCCTTGCACATCTAATTAATGGGCACAGTTTTTCAACTATTTTTTATTTTTGGCTGTGGATGTTATTGAGCTTGTAGAAATCGGAAACAACACAGTTCTGCGACACAGATGATCCTTTATTGATATCTCTATCAGACAATACCTATTTTATATGCCAAAAGAAACAACAGGCAGTAAAAAAATATTAACATAAATATCTTAATGTAGGCATAGGCTATAGTCGCATGCTTTGGCAAACAGTTGAAAATTTATTAATAAAAACATCATATCGTGCCTAAAGCCTTGTAGGCTCAGTCACCCCCACAATTAGAAATTAAATTAGAAAAATAGATATGCCATCCCTCTTTGAGCGAACCTGACCAAGCTAAAGTGCATGTATAACAAGTGCCCCAATAACCCATGGACTTAGGATCATCCCCATTCCCCTCAAACTTGAAGCATAACGAAATACTACGCCATTAAATTTGCGACAAAGAAATTCTGGCAAAATAACCTTAGCCTCGGAACGTAAAAGCGAGGCCAACATGTCTAGAATAGAATAGGCTAAACCAATATGAACGTAAAGTTATCAGCTGACCGAACTCAAAAGTTTATATTGAACATATTTGTAGCCTAAATAACATAGGCTAATTGGTTTAATATGCCTGACCTTAGGTCTAGTTTGATTTTTTCTTGGCACAATGCAGGAATAAAATAGCATCTACAGTGTCAGGATTCAGACGGGAGCGCCTGCATAGCCACTGCGCCCTGCTGCACTGAAGGAGCGCTCGCTCGCAGCACTTGTTGCTGAAATGCATAGAATTCTCTTGGAAAGGTTCTGTAATCGTGGGAATGCCTGGCCTTATTTCTCCCAAAAGGAAAGTAGGTTTTCCTCTGCTGATCCGTCTATACGGAAGTTTGTAGAGGAATACTTCTGTACACTTCATCCAGAATTAATGTATCCGATTCCTCCTCCCATTCTGTGAAGTCAGTCCTAGGCTTTTTCGTTGGTGCGCCAGCTATGAATATAAAATCAGTACAACCGCCCGCCACCCGCCCGAATTTAATTAAAATATTATTTTTTCGCAACGTCATCCGCCCGATCCGCGGTTTATCCGCGGAGTCCGCGGCTATAACCGCCAACCGCGCATCTCTACTAGGAATAATAAAGGGTCAAACTACCCACTCTACAAACAAGTGCATTTATGACTGTACTTAAAAAAAGGAGGATAATATAATACCAAAATATCAGCGTGCAGCACAACGAGCAGCTTTTAAGCCCTAAATATAAATGCAAGTCAATTTTGTGAGCCACAATTAGCAGACGTCTGCAGCCAGAAGGATTCCGATGGCTAAATAAGGTCAATAATGAAGCGTGCTTCTCCTTGTGCAGATGATCAACTTCGAGAAGGAGCTGATCGTGTTGTCCAGCACCGAATCCACAGAGGTCAAAGATCTGCCCAAGAGGATCCCCAAAGACGCGGCGCGCTACCATTTCTTCCGCTTTAAACACTCTCACGAGGGAGATTACCTGGAGTCTGCAGGTACAGGACGCTCTCTACTGGCCATCGTTTATAGCCATTCTCTCACTCGATATACCGTTCAAGTCAGAATTATTTGCCCTCCTGTGAATTTTCTTTGTTAAAGATTTCCCAAATGATGTTGAACAGATTCAGGAATTTCTAGTTTTTAATAGTTTTAAAGCCATTTTGAGGTCAATATTATTCGCTCCTTCAGCAATATTTGCATTGGATTGTCTACAGACCCACTGTCATACAATGACTTGCCTAATTACCCTAACTTTACCCTAATTAACATAATAATCATTATAGTGTTAATAACTCATCCCTAATAACTGATTTATTTTCTCTTTGTCATGATGACTGTAAATAATATTACACTAGATATTCTTCAAGACACTTCTATACAGCTTAAAGTGACATTTAAAGGCTTCACTAGGGTAATTAAGGGTGTTTGTGTGTGTGTGTGTGTGTTCAGTGTTCATCTACTCTATGCCGGGCTACAGCTGTGGGATCCGCGAGCGAATGCTTTACTCCAGCTGTAAAAACCCTCTGCTGGACATGGTGGAGAGCAAACTGCAGATGGAAGTGGAGAAGAAGGTCAGAGCATTTATACACACATATTTATACACAACTCACATTCCATTCATCTGTTTTTAAGTGCATCAATGTTAATATTTCCATCTGTTTTTAGATTTATTTGCTGTTAAATTGAGGCATTTATTTACATTTAGATATTTTTTCCATTTATGCATTATTTATATTCATTCATTTATACATAAAAGTGCATTTGTTTGTGAATCTGCAGTCATGTACATTCAATTCCTTGCATTTGTTTACATTTGCAAATGCATTTATTTGTATTTAGATATTTGTTTACATTTATGCATTGTTTACCCTTCACATTTGCCATGACATATACAGAATATTGATTTCTAGTTACTAAAAAATTTTAACACTATCGGTTAACATTATTATATATAAACATAGTTAACCTGCAGTTAAATAGTATATACAGTTGAAGTCAGAATTATTCGCCCTCCTGTATGTATATGTATATATATATGTATATATATATATATATATATGTATGTATATATATGTATGTCTATATATGTATGTCTATATATGTATATATATATGTGTATTTATATATATGTGTGTATATATGTATATATATATATATATATATATGTGTGTGTGTATATATGTGTGTGTGTGTATATATATATATATATATATGTGTGTGTGT